AAATATGGAGAACAGAGAGAGGGTAATTAGAGGGGGTTGTGGGAGGGGGATGGGCTAAATGGGTAAGGGGCATTAAGGAATCTACTCCTGAAATCATTGTTGCACTATATGCTAACTGACTTGGATGTAAATAAAAAAATAAAAGAAAATAAATAAATAAATTTAAAAAAAGATTCTCTTCTTTCTCCTTCTGCCCCTTTCCCCTGCTTTTATGCATGCACATGCTCTATCTCAAAAAAATAATAAAGCAAATTTTTTTTAAAAAGCTAGCTATGTGAAGTTTGCATTTGGAGGAGAACTAAAGGAGACAGAGAAGCCAAAAAAATTGTTTTAAATATAGGTAGGACAAAAAGTTTATAGACAATAGAAACAGGAGTTATCATTGAAAATGAATAATATTTATAAACAGCAAGACCCTCTGTAAGTACAGAAAACCAATAATGATGACTCAGAAAAGAGATCTTTATTTTAGATAGGGGGAGGCATAAAGCCACTTACATATACCAAGAGCCCCTGTATTCTCAGTATATCACTGTATATATATTTATGATAACACGAAAGCAGTATTAAAGTCCTAAAAATTTTTTTTAATGTTTATTTATTTTTGAGACAGAGAGAGACAGAGCATGAACAGGGGAGGGTCAGAGAGAGAGGAAGACACAGACTGTAAAGCAGGCTCCAGGCTCTGAGCTGTCAGCACAGAGCCCAACACGGGGCTTGAACTCACAAACTGTGAGATCATGACCTGAGCCGAAGTCAGAAGCTCAATCAACTGAGCCACCCAGGCACCCCAACAGTATAGTTCTAGTCACCTATGTTCTCACGGACTTGAGGAATATTGGAGATAGTACATGTAAAGGCACTTTGTAAAACATAAATGTGAATGTTGTGATTTTAGTAAATCACATTAGACTTAGAATAGCTATTCTTTTATTGTGTAATTTCAGAACTCATGTTGAGAAAATCTAGTATCTTATCCTTTTCACTTCGCAGAATCAGCCTAAGGACCAGAATTTATTATTTAAAATTTTTAAGTTTATTTATTTTGAGAGAGAGCAAGCACGAGCAGGGGAGATGGGGAGGAGGTTAGAGAACGAGTCCTGAGCAGGCTCCCCACTGTCAGCACAGAGCCTGATGCGGGGCTTGGACCCACGAACTGCGAAATCATGATCAGAGCCAAGACCAAAAGTCAGACACATAACTGACTGAGCCACCCAGGTGCTCCCAGAATTTATTTAAAATGTGAATTAGGGGCACTTGGGTGGCTCAGTCAGTTAAGCGTCTGACTCCAGCTTAAGTCATGATCTCGTGGTTCATGGGTTCGAGCCCTATGCAGGCTCTCTGCTGTCAGCTCAGAGCCGGCTTCAGATCCTCTGTCCCCCACTCTCTCTCCAAAGTAACTACACATTTTTGAAAATACATGAATTAGTGCTGTTAAAGAGATTTCTGTAAAAGTTACTGTATCATCATGCACTACACAGTGCCTTCTCAGTTATGTTTCAAGTAGTTTTTCATGTTCTTGATTATCTGGAATGTTACTGAAAGAAACATTGAGGAGTGTCTGGCAAAACTAGGGCCGGGTATGTATTAGTTTAAATGTTGATTTCCATCCGATGAAGAAGAGGATAAGCAAACCTCCTCCAGTCCTGGCTTGATTCCTTAAAGGATATTGAGATACTTGTTTTTGACCCTCTGCTAACAAAGAGTAAAAACTAAACATCTTTCTTCACCTATTTTATATTTTTCAGAGTCTATAAAAATCATCTGCTCTGACACAAATCAAATAACCCATCACTGTTTTGCTCTAGCATGGTGTTCTAGGAAATTCCTGCTTTCTCTGTGTTGTTACTTATAAAGACTTATTTCCTATGTGTGTATTTTTTTCCATCTGTAGTTTCTGGACGAAGACTTGAAAGTAGCTGGGAAATACAAAGGAAATGATTATAGCCAGTATTCTCCCTGGTCATGTGATACCATCGGCTCCTACATTGGCACCAAAGATGCAAAACCCAAAGATGTTGTGGCAGCAGGGAGTGTGGAAATGATGGTATGTGTAGTAACTAAGCCGTAGTTAATGCAAATCAGGATACACCAAATATGTCTGTGTAGTTAATAGTGTAGACACAAATAATTGAGCTTTACTTAAGAATTGCAAGGCCATATTCTATATTATGTGATTGAATTAGGTTTAAACTATAGGGGTTTTATGTTTGTTTTTTCAGGTATAAAAATTAATCTATTGCACATCTGGATAGACAAAGGAGAGCATTTTAGTATATTTCTGTGCAGCCAACAATGAACCCAACAACTGTTCAGAAACAAAATTAAATTATCTTGCATAATTAATCAGGATCTTGGATTTCTTGTCTAAATAAATTATAACTCTCTTAAAACTCTGAAGTTTAAACAACAAAGTTGAATCTAGTGAACAATAGTATTTGAGTCAGAATTGCAGCTAATAAGCTTCGAGTGGACTGTGGTATATTGAAATGTGTTATACTTCTATTTTAATTTTTAATAAAAAATAATGTAACAACAGTATGTCTAATGCCCAAGCTTAACATACATAACTATCTGAATTGCTTCTTTATTTTTTAAAGAAATAAAACTTTGTAGAAATAGTGAGATCTTCCTGAATATACCTCCCTAATCTCCTTTTACTTCCTTCCTTCTTCCCTGGAGGTAACCTTTATCCTGATTTGAAAGTTACTCGTTTCATGGATACTTTCATACTATTCCTAAACAGTTTTGTATGTTTACAGACCTTATATTAATATATATGTCAGCTTGCGTTTTCATTCAATTTTTGTTTTTGAGATGTATCCAAATTTATAGGTCAAGTTCATTCATTTTAACTTTATATCAGATACCATTGTCTGGTAACTGGTATCATACAGTAAATATATATGCAAATCATTATTTGTTCCTTTTCCTGTTGATGGACATTTAGGCTAATTTTGATCTTTTACCGTACTGTTAAGTGTTACAATGAACATTTTTGTGTATTTCCTTGTGTACATACATTAGTTATGCTTAGAAGTGGTATTGCTATGTTGAAAGGTATGTCTGGGCTAATACTCTTAAGCCATGTGCCCCTAATTAACCTAACAGAAGTTGCCTAGGATATTATACAGGTTTTCATAGACAAATACTTGTCCAACTGGTTAAGAGACCAATTCTTAGTAATAGAAAAGTAAGACTTGGATGTTAATATCATAAATGAATGAAATGATATACATAGCATAAATATGATTAGATGCCAGCCAAAAAAGAGAGAAAGAAAGGCATTGGGTGGGGGTGGGACAGAAATTTTGAATCTTTTTATTTTTCTGTGGTGGGATTAAGGAAACATTATTTAGAAAACATCCTCTCTAGGGGCGCCTGGGTGGCTCAGTCGCTTGAGCATCCGACTTTGGCTCAGGTCATGATCCCATGGCTGGTGGGTTCAAGCCCCGCGTCAGGCTCTGTGATGACAGCCTGGAACCTGCTTCAGATTCTGTCTATCTCTGCTCCTCCCCTGCTCGCTTGCTCGCTCTCTCTCTCTCTCTCTCTCTCTCTGTCTCAAAAATAAATAAACATTAAAAAGATAAAAAAGAAAACATCCTCTCTAAGAACAAGAGTGAGATGAGGTGGAGATAGACGGAAACCCTTGCTTTGTACCTGGCTTTCAGAAATAGTTATTATATTAAAGTAATAAAATTAGCAAAATAAAACTCATTTCCTTAAATCACTAAAGAATAAAAATGTTTGTCAGCCTAACCTAGATGTGATTGAAAATCTCCTAAATGGTAAAAGACAGTGTTTTTCAAGTGTGTATAAATTACCTTGGAGTCTAATTAGAGCCGATTAAAGTGCAGGTCCTAAATCGCTAATACTGGGGTGGGATCTGAGACTCAGCATTTCTAATGAGTTCCCATGTGTTGCTGCTGCTGCTGCTGTTGGTCCTCGAACTGTAGTTTGAGTAGCAAAGATCTAGCAGTTGAATTTCCGTTTCAGTTTATCTTGGTAATTCCTTCTTTCTAACTGGAATCCCTTTGAAACATCTGTTGTTGACACTTAAATTTTTAAGTGGTGGTTTTCTAACTATTGAGTTTTGAAATTGGGTCGTCATGGGCCTTTTTTTTTTTTTAAAGAAATGAGTTTGAATAACTATAAATGTGAGAGTACATTACATATAGTAAGAGGCAAATATTTGTCATAAAATTCTATCTATATATTAGAATGTGTATATGTACTGAGTCATGATGTAAAATATATTTCTTATTGTGGGGAGTGAGCAAAGGTTTAAAAAGCAGTGTTTACTATG